CCGGGGCCCCTCCCGAAGGGCGGGCCCCGCGAGAGCAGGGCTCCGAGGCGGGGCTCTCTCTCTCTCTCTCTCGCCGCGGGACGACATACGCCCCCCCCCTCCCCCTGAGGCCCGAGGGCGCGACGACGAGGGAAGGGCATCTTGGCGGCGCGCACACAGGGGAGGAGGAGGGAGAGGAGAGGAGGAGGAGGAGGAGGAGGAGGAGGAGGAGGAGGAGGAGAGAGGAGGAGGAAAGGGGGAGGAGGAGGAGGAGGGAGGAGGAGGAGGAGGTGGAGGAGGAGGAGGAGAAGGAGGAGGGATAGAGTCAACCCGTAAGCAGGACGCACGATGCACCGTACGCCCCCCAACCCGAAATTTGAATTTGAGAGGGTCTGGGGCCTTCGGGTTGGGTTGGGGTGGCTTGGTAAGTACTGAGATTAATGAGGATGCAAGGGCCTTGGAAGGCCATGCCAACACTTTGGGGGCGGAGCGCGGCCAGCGAAAGCGGCCAAGGACGGGCCGCAGGGGAAGGATGCGAGGGTGACTTTGGAAAGTCGATCATCCTTACTATGCAGGTTGACTGCAGGGGGGAGGGGGGAAGGCTCTTTAGAAGGAGGCTGCTTCTTGGAAGTCGCGGGCCTTACATCGACAGACAAGGCCAGCGCCTTCCAAGAAGCAGAGTGCTTCTAAGAAGCCTTCCCTCCTCCCCTATACCCCCCTCCGCGCGTGGCCGGGTATCGGCGACATCTTGACGCCGACGTTGCGATCTTGCCTCCCTTGATCCCCAGACCTGAGACGAAACCAGGACGGGGACGAAATCGGGTGAGGATAAATCGGGAATCTCTGAGATCCGGCGGCTCTGGAAAATGTCTCGGGAACCGCGGCCTTCTCGGAGCGTTCCAGCATGCTCTGAGAGCGTCCCGGAACGATCAGGAACGGATTTGTCCTCGTCTTAGACCCTTCCGACCAGACCCCCTACATCATGATTCTTTCATGGCGTCGGGATCCAGCGCCCTTCCCAGGGACCGGGATTGTCATCCAGAGCCGTGCCTTGAAAGTCTCGAGGCCTGGCCTTAGGTCGGGCATGTCCTCCTACAGCCTGCAGGCGGATTCTGGAAGAGAGATGGAACAACATGTCATGACAAAGAGCACGAAACATCGCCCCAAAATGATTTTTTGCTATTCTTGAGTACCCCTCCTGTAGAGGGACATGCCCGACGTAAGCCTGGCAAGAAGGCCCCCAGAGGCCGAAAAGAACGAGAAAGACATCCCCTCCGGATCGGTTCACGACGTGGGGAGGCCAGGGCCACGCCCGACAATCAGTTCCCGAATCCCTGCAGGGGTCACTTCTTCTCCTCCTCCTCCCTCCCTCCCCTCCCCTCCCCTCCCCTCCCCTCCCCTCCCCTCCCCTCCCCCGCGACCGGTTGTTACTGTGGCCCGTTGGGTGTTCGTGTGGCCCGTGGGGTGTTAGTGTGGCCCGTCGCGCGGCGGGATGGGAGTTACTGTGGCCCGCGCAGGCCGTTCAATGAAAAGTAATATGTAAAGGTATCTCATGTTAGATCTGGAGAGATTCGCAACCCTTAAGGGAATGCACTCCCGCGCAGGCAAAAGTGGCCACAGCAACTCCCATCTGGAACCAACGTGGTAGTGGTGCTGTGTCAGTGGTGTGGTGGTTGCTGTGCTGTGTTAGTGGTGTGGTGTTGGTAATGTTGTGTTAGTGGTGTGGTGTTGGTAGTGGCGGGTTGTGCTGTATGCTGTGTTAGTGGTGTGGTGTTGGTAGTGGTGTGCTGTGTTAGTGGTGTGGTGTTGGTAGTGGTGTGTTAGTGGTGTGGTGTCGGTAGTGTTGTTGAGTTGTTAGTAGGTAGTCGTGTTGTGGTAGTGGCAGTGGTGCTGTGGTAGTGGTGTTGTGGTAGCGGTGTTGTGGTGTTGTGGTTGTGGTACTGTGGTAGCGGTGCTGTGGTGTTGTGGTAGCGGTGTTGTGATGTTGTGGTACTGGTATTGTGGTAGTGGTGCTGTAGCGAGGTAGTACTATGGTGCTGTAGTGTTGGTGTTAGGTAATATCACTCATAGGGAGTACTGTACTAGTCCTACGGAGTACTAGCCGCAGGGAGTGCTAGCCCCAGGGAGTACCAGTCCTAGGAATTACTACCCCTAGGGCGTACTCGTCCAAGGGAGTACTCGTCCTAGGGAGTACCCGCACTACGGAGTACCAGCCCTAGGGAATACTAGTCCTAGGGAGTGCTAGTCCGAGGGAGTGCTAGGAAGTACTGGCGCTAGGGAGTGCTAGCCCTAGGAAGTATTGGCGCTAGGGAGTGCTAGCCCTACGGCGCTAGGGACGACGAGACGTAGTAGTAGTAGTAGTAGTAGTAGTAGTAGTCGTAGTAGTAGTAGTAGTAGTAGTAGTAGTAGTAGTAGTAGTAGTAGTAGTAGTCGTAGTAGTAGTAGTAGTAGCAAGAGTAGTGGTAGTCGTCGTAGTAGTAGTAGTAGTAGCAGTAGCAGTAGTAGTTGTAGTAGTAGTAGTAGTAGTAGTAGTAGTAGTAGTAGTAGTAGTAGTAGTAGTAGTCGTAGTCGTAGTAGTCGTAGTAGTCGTAGTAGTCGTAGTAGTCGTAGTAGTAGTAGTAGCAGCAGCACAGTAGCAGTAGTAGTAGTAGGTAGTAGTAGTAGTAGTAGTAGTAGTAGTAGTAGGTAGTAGTAGTTAGTAGTAGTAGTAGAAGTAGTGGTAGAGGTAGTAGTAGAAGTAGTAGTAGTAGTAGCAGCAACAGCAGTAGTAGTAGTAGTAGTAGTAGTAGTAGTAGTATTCATAGTGGTAGTCGTAATAGTTAGTCGTCGTCGTCGTCGCCACCGTCGTAGTAGTAGTAGTCGTCGTCGTAGTAGTCGTAGTAGTCGGAGTCGTCGTGGCAGCCGTATTTCTAGTAGTAGTGGTAATAGTAGTGGTAGTAGTAGTAGTAGTAGTAGTAGTAGTAGTAGTAGTAGTAGTAGTAGTAGTAGTAGTAGTCGTAGTCGTAGTCGTATCGAGAGTAGTTGTAGTAAATTTAGTAGTAGTTAGAAGGTCGTAGTCCTAGCCGTAAGTCGTAGTCGTAGTAAAGTCGTAGTAGTAGTGGTTGTAGGTAGTCTCGTCGTCGTCGTGTAGGAGTAGTAAGTGAATGTAAATAGTAGTAGTAGTCGTAGTTGTGGGGGTAGTAGTAAGTAGTAGTTGTAGTAGTATGTAGTAGTAGAGTAAGTAGTAGTAGAGTATAAGTAGTAATAGTATCGTCGTAGTAGCAGTAAAGTCGTAGTAGTCGTAAGTCGTAGTCGTAGAGTAGGTGTAGTAGGAAGTAGTAGTAGTAGTAATAGTAGTAGTAGTAGAGTAGGTAGCAGTAGAAGTAGCAGTAGTAGTAGTAGTAGTAGTAGTAGTAGTAGTGGTGGTAGTAGTAGTAGTAGTAGGACTAGTAGTAGTAGTAGTAGTAGTAGTCGTAGTATTTGTGGCAGTAGTAGTCGTAGTAGTAGTGGTTCGTATTCGTATTCGTAGTAGTAGTAGTCGTAGTAGTAGTAGTAGTAGTAGTAGTAGTAGTAGTAGTAGTAGTAGTAGTAGTAGTAGTAGTAGTAGTCGTAGTTTAGTAGTAGTAGTTTAGTAGTCGTAGTTTAGTAGTAGTAGTAATAGTAGTAGTAGTAGTAGTAGTAGTAGTAGTAGTAGTAGTAGTAGAAGTAGTAGTAGTAGTAGTAGTAGTAGTAGGTAGTATTAGTAGTTAGTAGTCAGCAGTAATAGTTATTAGTCGTCAGTAAGTAAGTAGTATTAGTAGTAGTAGTAGTTAGAATAGTAGTAGTAGTCGTAGTAGTAGTAGTAGTAGTAGTATAGTAGCTGTAGTGTAGTAAGTAGTCGTAGTAGTAGCAGGTTAGTAAGTAGTGTAGTTGTAGTTAGTAGTAGTAGTAGTAGTTAATTAGTAGTGAGTAGTAGTAGTGGTAGTAGTAGTTCAGTAAGTTCTTTGCTAGTAGTAGTAGTCTAGTTAGCAAAACTATAGTAGTAGTAGTAGTCGTAGTAGTAGTAGCAGTAGTAGTAGTAGTAGTAGTTGTAGTAGTAGAAGTAGTAGTAGTAGAAGTAGTACCATCAGTAGTAACAGTAGTAGTCGTAGTAGTAGTAGTAGTAGTAGTAGTAGTAGTAGTAGTAGTAGTGGTAGTAGTAGCAGTAGTAGTAGTAGTAGTAATAAAAGTAGTAGTCGTCGTCGTAGTAGTAGGAGTAGTATTAGTAGTCGTAGTAGTAGTAGTAGTAGTAGTAGTAGTAGTAGTAGTAGTAGTAGTAGTAGTAGTAGTAGTAGTTGTAGTAGTAGTACGAAGGCGGGCATGTTGACGATGATGGAGAAGTGAGGGGACAGAGGATGAGGAGGACAAGGATAAGGGAGAGATAATCGGATAATGGAGAAGAGCTGGATGCTGATGGAGGCGAGGAGGAGGAGGAGAAGGTGGAGGAGGAGGTGGAGGAGGAGGAGGAGCAGGACAACGAGCCAGAGGGAGGCAGGGATGAGCAGGCGGAGGACGAGGAGGACGATATCGAGGACGAAAGGGAGAGGAGCAGGAGATGGAGGATGAGATGATGAACAGGGGGAGGATGATAATCACGGGTGGGGAGGGGGAGAAAGATGGGAAGGGGCAGCGGGGGGAGGATTAGGAAGTGGAGGAGAATCGAGAGGCAGAGGAGGAGGAGGAGGAGGAGGAGGAGAAGGAGGAGGAGGAGGAGGAGGAGCGCGGTCGCTCGTCACGACATCCTGCCCGCGCTGCCGCAATCTTGGTGTATGCGGGCTGCCTCGTCGACAGCAGGACCTCGGCGTGCCTGGCTTCCCTGAAGCCCCTCCTCCTCCGCCTCCGTCTCCGCCTCCGCCTCCGCCTCCGCCTCCGCCTCCTCCTCCGCCTCCTCCGCCTCCCCCGCCTCCTCCGCCTCCCCCGCCGCCTCCTCTTCCGCCTCCTACCCCCTCCTCCTCCTCCTCCTCCTCCGCCTCCTTCCCCTCTTCCTCTTCCACCTCCTCCTCCGCCTCCTCCTCCTCTTCCGCCTCCTCCCCCTCCTCCTCTTCCACCTCCTCTTCCTCCTCCTCCGCCTCAGCCTCCTCTTCCTCCTCTTCGGCCTCCTCCGCCTCTGGCTCGAGAGCGGTAGGGCGACCGCAGCTCTTGCCGGGTTCGTGTCCTCCGCAGCCCCGCCGCGCCGTGGGCGGACCCCAGCAGAGGCAGGCATGCAGCAGCGGTGGGCCGCCGTCACGGCGGCCTCCGGCGCCCGGCCGCCCGCAGGGAGGCCAGCGCTCTCCCTCCGCGTCCTTCCGCGCCTGCCTTTTTCTTGTCTCATCCATTTCTGCTTCTTCTTCTTCTTCTTATTATTATTCGTATTAGTATTGTTAGTATTCGCTATCGTCTTCTTAATATTAGCATTGTGGTTAGTCGTATCTGCTTCTGCTGATTGTTACATGAGTATTGATATTATTCTGCTTGTTCTCATCACTATTGGTATCAAGTATTGGTATACGTTTGGTATTCGTCGCAGTTTTACTATTGATGCTGGTGCTATTGTATTTTGTAGGTATAGTCTCTTTCATTTTCTTAGTAAAACAGTGTTATCCATATTATCAACAGTAATAAGAACTATACAACTACGATTACTAGTCGTAGCATTGTTACTCGTAATTTGTTTACTTATCATTAGTACTGGTATTAAGAATACTACAAATAGTGCCATCATTAGTATTGGTGTTCGTGTTAGTGTTAATACTCTTTTCACGAATCGTATCATCATTTGTGTTATTTAGAGCAGCATTCGTATCCTTTGTCGTATGATTCTTATTATTATCCTTAGTAGTACAGGGTGATTCTCATTATTATTATTATTATTGTTATCATTGCTATTACTAGTATTATAAGTAGTATCATTATTATCATCATCAGTATTATATTATTATTAGCATTATTACGAGTATTATTATTATTGTCATTATTATTTGTATTATTATTAGTAGTAGTAGTAGTAGTAGTAGTAGTAGTAGTAGTAGTAGTAGTAGTAGTAGTAGTGTTCTTCGTATTGTTATTGTCAGAATTCCTCTGATTGTTATGTTTCCTGCTCCTGTCCCTCCTCCTCACTCCTCCTCCTCCTCCTCCTCCTCCTCCTCCTCCTCCTCCTCCTCCTCCTCTGCCTCCTCCTCCGTGGCCCTCCGTGGCCCTCCTCCCCGAGGCCCGGCCAGCCAGGAGCGATCAGCAGGCCCGCCGGGGGCTTGCTGAAGCCGGGCGGCGCGGCCGCCTCGTCCTCGTCCGCCGCGGGGGCCGCGAGACCAGCCGCAGGCTCGAGGGGGGGGTAGGGAGGGAGGGAGAAGGAGGAGGAGGGGGAGGAGGAGGAGGAGGAGGAGGGGGATGTATAGAAGGAGGAAGAGGAAGAGAAGGTGGAGCTGGAGGAGAAGGAGGATGAGGAGGAGGGATGGAGGAAGGAGGCAGGAGGGAGGTGGTGGTCGTGCAACGGTGGCATGGCAGTCAATGCGTGCTCACAACTCTGCTAATTTGCTGGAAAATGCGACCAGGAGAAAATGAATGCCCTGGGTGAAGACGCACAAGTTGAATTTTGACCTTCAGGCCATGGTATGGATGTGAAGGACCATGGGGCACGGCGCTTATGGCGCAATGCTCTGGCTGCTTCGCGATTCTTCTGAATCCGAGCTTTTTGCTCGTCTCTGAGCTCCACAGGTGGTGGAGGAGGAGGAGGAGAGAAGGAGGGAAGGAGGGAGGGGGAGGAGGAGGAGGAGGAGGAGGAGGAGGAGGAGGAGGAGGAGGAGGAGGAGGAGGAGGAGGAGGAGGAGGAGGAGTGGAGCAGAAGGAGGAGGAGGAGGACAGCGGGAGAAATGCAGGGCCCGCCCCGGCCTTCTCGGGCTCGAGGGGCCCGTGCATGTCGGCAGCCGCCGCCGCTTCGGCGTCCCAGGCCTCGGCCTCCGCCCTGGAGGCTGCCTCCTTGTCGCCCTCTTCTGGGACGGGCGTCGGCGGGCACACGGGTGGGGGCGACGGCAGCAGCATCAAGTCGGGCATGTCCCTCTGCAGGATGAATATTCAGAAATAGTCCAAAAATGCTCAGGGGGCGATGTTTTGGCTATTTGTGAGGACTTTCGGCGTTTGTTTTCAGTTTTTTATTCCCTACGTAGCACCCCGCAATTGCGGATAAGAGTGAGGGGGCGGGCGCGGGCGACGCGGGCGTCGTCGAGCCGGCGGACCTCGTGGCCCCCACCTTCCTTGTCGATGGCGCTCTCCTCCTCCTCCTCCTCCTCCTCTTCCTCCTCCTCGTCCTCGTCCTCGTCCTCGTCCTCATCGTCATCGTCATCCTCCTCCTCCACCTCGTCCTCCTCCTCCTCTTTTTCCTCGTCCTCCCTCTCCCCCCCTCGTCCTTTCATCATCGTCCTCCCATTGTCGTCCTCCCCCTCATCGGCCTCCATCATCGTCCTCCCATTGTCGTCCATCATCATCCTCCTCCCCCTCCTCGTCCTCCTCCCCCTCCTCCCCCTCCTCCCCCTCCTCCTTCCCCTCCTCCCCCTTGGCATTGGTTTGTTCAGTGAACGTGGTTTGGGTTGCGGGCTCTCCACCTCCACCTGGAAGGAATGCAAAAGCAGCCCGCCGCAGGCGCCAAAAAATGTGGTTTGTACACTGAATGTGGTGTGGGTCGCGGGTGGGCCGCGGGTTCTCCACCGGGAGCGAATGCAAAAGATGCCCGCCGCAGGCGCCGAAACATGTGGTTTGTACCCTGAACGTGGTCGCGGGTGGGCCGCGGGCACTCCACTTGAAACGACTGCAAAAGATTCCCGCCGCAGGCGCCGAAAAATGTGGTTTGTACCCTGAGCGTGGTTTGGGTCGCGGGTTGGTCGCAAGTTGGTCACGGGGTGGGTCGCGGGCTCTCCACCTGGAAGGAGTGCAAAAAAAGCCCGCCGCAGGCGCAGGAAATGGTGGTTTGTACCTTGAACGTGGTTTGGGTCGAAGGTGGGTCGCGGGTGGGTCGCGGGGTGGGTCGCGGGTGGGTCGCGGGTGGGTCGCGGGTGGGTCGCGGGTGGGTCGCGGGGTGGGCCGCGGGCGGGTCGCGGGGTGGGTCGCGGGTGGGTCGCGGGGTGGGTCGTGGGGTGGGTCGCGGGGTGGGTCGCGGGGTGGGTCGCGGGTGGGTCGCGGGTGGGTCGCGGGTGGGTCGCGGGGTGGGCCGCGGGTTGGGTCGCGGGTGGGTCGCGGGGCGGGTTGCGGGTGGGACGACGACAACAAACAACAACAACAACAAACAACAACAAACAACAACAACACGAATCCGCACCGCGGAATTCCACTTCAGCCACGCACCCAGGGACAGTGAATGACCGTTCGGCCCCCTCACTCTGACCTAGGCTCTGCCTAGAAGGGTTCTTACTCGGTAGGCTTAAAGGGCCGGGCAGTGGAATGCGCCCCGGGCGGTTCCCCCAGGATCCGCCCCGCGGTTCCCCCAGTGACGTTCCCTTAGCTTCGCGTTGCTTATCTCATCTTAGCTTAGCTTATTTCATCTTACCTTAGCTTAGCTTCATCTTACCTCAGTTGTATCTTAGCTTAGCTTACCTTCATCTTAGCTCCGCTGAGCTTTAGCATAGCAGAACACAGCATAGCATAGCATAGCGTAGCATAGCATAGCGCAGCACAGCACAGCATAGCATAGCATAGCGCAGCTTAGCATAGCATATCATAGCATAGCACAGCGCATCATGACATATCATAGCTTAGCTTAGCATAGCTTAGCATAGCTTAGCATAGCATAGCATAGCGCAGCATAGCATAGCATAGCATAGCATAGCATAGCGCAGCATAGCATGGCATAGCATGGCATAGCATAGCATAGCATAGCAACTAATGCTGCTTTCCTAGGGGCTCCAACTTCTAGGTAGGGTCGCACTGGGGTAATTTTTCGTCCAAAATCACCTGTAGGGGGACACGCCCGACCTAACAGCAGCACGAAAAGGCGAGACAGGCGGCGGCGGCGGCGACGGGACTGCAAGCCGTTCCATCTACTCACTTCTGGATCACCTCTGGTTCTCTTGCCGTCTCCTGCGAAGTCGGGGGCCTGCACAAACTCCATGTATGGGTCCAGTCTGGCGTGTAGCTTTCCGGGCTGTCGTCGGCGATATTTTGCATTGAGTCCGATACGACTCTGGCCAGGGCTGCAGACAAGCGGGATTGGTACGTCTTCGTGACACTTGTTTCGAAACAGAGCTTGTCTGTTGTCTTGCCCACAAGAGTCATGTGTTCTCCCCGTCCGAGATTGCATTTCCCGTTGTTCCCATGCGTACATATGTGAGTCTGTAGCGTGGGCATTCTAATAGAGACCAGTCGTTTCGGCGCACGTCCTACTTCTGAGGCTGGGAGATCCTGGAATACGCACTGGTCAAAACCCATAGTGGCAGAAATGGGAAATGACGCTAGCGCTCTGAGCTGCACACCATATTTCACACGGGGGGGGGCCTTCCAGTGTTCCACACTCGGTGAGCCCTGATGTGGACCCTCCATTCGTTTACTTTCTGTCTTCGTGTGAGATCACATTTCTGCTTATGTATGGATATGTCCACTGCGAGCATTGTGATCTGGCAGCCTGGGAGAATAGCTCCCGGCTCGATGTGGGACTTTACGTCTCCTAACCTCCGCGTGCCATTTAAAAAAGGTGGAGAATAAACATCTGCGCTCTGTGCATTCACACTGGGATCGCTCCTTTTGCCGTCCCTTGGAAGTCCTGGGGTCTGTAGATGCATCATCTGTCCTGGTGCCCGTTGTCGCCTATTCTTCCCTCTTAGACCCTTGCGGCGCCGTCGGTGGCTACAGGGGGATCTTGATACAGGATCTTCCTAGCGTCGCCGGTGAGCTCGTGGAGGGATGTCCTAGGTACATCCCTGGCTTTTGCTTCTGATAGAGATACGAAAACGCAGTTGGAGTCGCGTATGAGGCCTTCTGGAGGCCGATCTCCAACGTCCTAGTCCAGCCCTTCTTTGAGCTAGCATCTCCGCTGTGTCCTCCTGGGCCCATGCCCTTGCCAACTGCGGCTGGAGCTCCCGCTCCGTGCAGAAAATATGCCGAACAGCAACGGGCCGAGTCGAATGCTAGATGATCTCTGACTTGCCTTCTCTGCGAAAAAAGAAGTGGCGCACGTTCGGCATATGGAAGATGGCCCCACGATGAGCTCAACATGTTGGACAAAAGCATGATGCTGGTGAACGATGTGCTGCTGCATGGCTGGCCTCTTGCGGAAGCTCTTGTGGCACCAGGGGCTCTCCAAGCTGCTCCTACCCTCTTGTTCTGCCTGTCGCAATGGATGATCTGGGTGTGTGATGGGCAATGGCACTCCGCATGGCCTGACGCCGTCGAAAGAACATGCTTCCGCTGCTGCTGCAATGGCAAAGCGCTTAGAAGCAGCAGCGTGGTTGGCCTGCGCACGCCGGAGTAGTTGCATCCTGGGTCATGGAAGATCTCTTTGAGCCAGGAGGTGGGGGAGGTGTGGTATGCAATGGCCACTAAGCCTTTGAGTACCTCCGAACCGTGGTGGATGAGCCTTCTGAAAACACGTAACCTGTGTACCCGCAGTTGTGTCTGCACATCTGCTCGTCGGGCAGCTGCTAGAACCAGTGAGTCACGACCTGTATTGCAATCAAATTTGGCCATGCACGCTGCTGAACGGTACTTGGTGAGAATCTTGCTGCAGAAGGAGCGCTCCTGCGCTTCCGTCATGCCATGCCATGTGCATGCGTTAAACAGATCGGAGGATGTAATGAGCGAGTCCAGGAACTGCATCTCGATTTTTACATCTGGAGCGTGGCCACCCATGGATGGGAAAACATTGCGGCGTAGTTGGCCATGATGATGCGCATGATCGGTGCCTGTGGGCCAGCTCTGAGCCTAAGGAGGCCCTCTCGTCCAGGATGGTGCCAAGATAGGGGTACTGGCGGACTGCGTGGCCCTCTTCGGGGGTCTCTCGGGCCGTCGTGGGCCGATCCTGGTGGCCTCTTGGGCCTTCTTGGGAAAGTTGGAATCCCGAAAAAGCGAGAACGCTCAAATCCTTCAAAAACAATTGACCAGTTGTAGTTTGGGCCTTTTGGGGCCCCTGGAGGGTCCCCTTGAAGCCCCCCGGGGGCGTCTGTAAGGTTTCTTTGGCCGTCTTGAAGCCATTGCGAGCGTCTTAGAGCGCTCTGGGGCCGTCTCGGAGCCCTCTTGGAGCAGCGCAATCGCACTCGAAACTCACGCGACGTCTTTCGATACCTCAGGCTGGAACGCTCCTGGAGGGCCCCCCGAACCTCAAGCCGAGCCACGCAAGAGGAAGCAGTTGCACAAAGAGCGGATACCGGTGACCCCCCGCGAGGAACCTAAGCAGAGTCCTCTCTTGGGGCCTTATTGAGTCTCTCTTGGGCCTCATTGGTGCTTTCTAAGAGGGCCCGAAATGTAACACAAACTTGACACAACACGCTCTCCAATAAGGAGGCGGTTTGTCTTACATATGCGTTGAATTATTCGCCCTGTCGGAGGCCTCCTAGGGCCCTCAGCTCCAAGAGGGCGAGGGCCCCAAGATGGCTCCACGAGGACCTAATTCTTCAACACAAAGTGAACACAAGGCGCTCTCCAATAAGGAGGCGGTTTGTGCCAAATGTGTGTTGAATTCTGAGCCCTCTCGGAAGCCTCTTAAGGGCCGTCAGAAGGCTCCCGCAGGGTCCCAAGAGGCCCAGGAGGGTCCCGCGAGGGCCCCAAGATGGCTCCAAGAGGGCCCGAACTTTCACACAGCACCAGCACCAGCACCACGGGCAGCCCAGGCAGCACCAGCAGCATCGACGCTCCAGCAACAACAGGACCACCAGTAGCAACAACAACGGGAGAGGCAGCAACGGAAAGATGATTCCAAGATGGACCCAACATGGTTTGAAAGGATCACGAGATTACCCCTGTCGCCCCTAGATGCCCACCCCTGCTAAGCAATGGTCCCAATATGGCGACCTTGCGGCCCCAAGAGAACACCGAGACGAACCCATTATTTTCAGACTGAACTGAGGCTACCGCGTGACCCCGATGTTAGGTGGCCCTGGGACGACCCCATGAGCCCAAGACGACTTCGAGATTGCCCCAAGATGACCCTTTTCAAGCACTAGCTGAAGACCCCAATATTGTGTCAATATGGCTCCATTGTGACTCCGATGCGTTTCTTTCTTCTGCCCTTGCTCTTGGCTCGGGTCGATAGGACGGATGGGGGTGCTGGCCCTCCGCCCCTTCGTCGTCGTTTTCTTCCTCCTCTCCCTCGTCCTCGTCGCACTCGTCGTCGTCGTCGTCGTCGTCGCTGTCGCATTGGCCCCCTCGGCCCCATACAGAGCAAAAAACCGAATGCCGAACACAAACCGAATACATCCATTCTCTGATTCGTATTCCTCCCCGTCCTACTACCCATCCTGATCGTCGTCGTCGTCCTCCTCGTCGTCCTCCTCCTCATCCTCATCCTCCTCGTCGTCCTCCTGCTCCAGCTCCTCCTCGCCGTCCTCGTCTAGGACTTCGTTCTCGTTTCTCGTCTTCCTCCTGCTCATCCTCCTTGTCCCGGCACCTCGGCGGCCGAGAATAAACCGTCTCCGATCGGTTGCGCCATAGGTTGCGCCCTCGGCGGCCGAGAATGAAACCCTCTCTGCTCGGTTGCGCCATAGGTTGTGCTCTCGGCGGCCGAGAATATACCGTCTCCTATCAGTTGCGCCATAGGATGCGCCTTCGGCGGCCGAGGATACAACCGGCCCCCATCGGTTGCGCCATAGGTTGCGCCTCCGGCGGCCGAGAGCAAAACCGTGTCCTATCGGTTGCGCCATAGGTTGCGCCCTCGGCGGCCGAGAACAAAACCGTCTCCTATCGGTTGCGCCATAGGTTGTGCCCTCTGCGGCATAGGTTGCCCATAGGTTGTGCCCTCGGCGGCCGAGGATATACCGCCTCCTCTCGGTTGTGCCATTGGTTGCGCCCTCGGCGGCCGAGAATAAAGCGTCTTCTCCAATCGGTTGCGCCATATGTTGCGCCCTCGGCGTCCGAGAATAAAACTGGTCCCCATCGGTTGCGCCATAGGCTGTGCCCTCGGCGTCCGAGAATACAACCGCCTCCTCTCGGTTGCGCCATGGTTTGCGCCCTCGACGTCCGAGAACAAAACCGTGTCCTATCGGTTGCGCCATAGGTTGCGCCCTCGGCGGCCGAGAATAAAGCGTCTCCTATCGGTTGCGCCATAGGTTGCGCCTTCGGCGGCCGAGAGTAGAAACCGTCTCCTATCCTTTGCGCCATAGGTTGCACCCTCGTCTGCTGAGATTAAAACCGTCTCCTATCGGTTACGCCTTAGGTTGCACCCTCGTCTGCTGATATTAAAACCGTCTCCCATCCTTTGCGCCATAGGTGGTGCCCTTGGCGTCCGAGAGTATAACCGTCGCGTAACAGGTGAGACCAGTCTGTTCAGTTCAGTTCGTTCAGCTCAGTTCAGTTCAGTCAGTTTACCTCTCGAAACAAATCCGGGCTACGCCCGACAACACCCTGCTTGCCTCCAGGGTGCCCTGCGTACCTTTGGTTTCGATGTTTTTACGATGGAAAGCGTGACGTTCCCACGCCGAAAATCAATGGACGGTTGGGTTTATTGTGGAAGTTTTCTTGTGGACGGGCCTCCACTGTACCTGAGTGGGCAAGGCTTCTTCTCTCCCTCGCAACGGCACCAAGCGGAACGGCCACACGTGGAGGAGGAGACAGAGAGGGACAAAGAGGGAGAAGGAAGAGGAGGAAGAAGAGGAGTGGAAAAGGGGATGCCGAGGAGGAGGAGGAGCAGGAAGACAACGGATGAAGAGTAGACGGAGGGAGAATGAGGGAGGGGAAGGTTGGGGGGACGAGATGCGAGGGCGAAGGGGATGTGGAGACAAAAGGGGGGATGACTGGGGTACGATGCGACCTTAGACCACCCCGAGGTGCCAACACCGCCTCCTTCACCGTGTCTACCCAGTCCAAGAAGGACCGATCGGAATGATCCTCCCCCTCCCCGTCCTTGTCGCTATCATCCCTTCTCCTCTCTCTCTGTATATCTGCATTGCGCGCTCTCGTCTATTTTGTTTCTCTCTCTCTCTCTCTCTTTCTCGTTACCTTGTTATCTCTCTGTCTCTCTCTCTATTTCTCGTTCTCTCCACTACATATACAGACGCCAGCATGCACCACTATCGGATGTTTGGGGTGATATCGACGTGACCCCAAATTTGGACATCGTGTTCGCTTGCGATTCGTGTCGCATGTGTGGGCGAGTTGAAACCGCGCGAGGGCGACGACATGCTTGCGTAACTGGGGCCACGCCATACAACACGTGTTTCCTCCAGTTGCTTCGTTTTTCGCTTTGGTTGTTCCACGGTTGTCCTGTGGTTGTCCCGCGGTTGTCTCGGGAGTTGTCCCGTGGTTGTCCCGCGGATTGTCCTGTGGTAGTCCCGTGGGTTTTCCCATGGGTTCTCCCGCGGGATGTCCCGTGTGTCGCCCCACGGGTTGCCATGTGGTTGTTGCGTCAGTTGTCCTGTGGGGAATTAGCATCGAGATGCCCATTCAATGGCAATCGGAGTGCATAGCGAACTAGAAATCCAAGTGCATTCAAAATCCGAATCGAAATTAACAGCAGGTATCAAAGCAAGTTGCAAGCGAACTGCACATGGAAAAGAACATGGACAGATGTTTCGAACTGAGATCGACATTCACATCGAAATGCGAATTCGACTGCAGTCGCAATGCAGCTCGACATGCACAGCGAACTGCAAAGCGAAGTTGAAGTCGGCATGTAATCGGGAGGCAGAAGTCGGATCGGTACATAAGGAGAGGCCGACATACATATATATATATATATATACATATATATACATAAACATATATACATATATATATATATACATATATATACATAAACATATGCATATATTTCCTTTCATGCATTCTCACTGATCCGGATCCTGCGGAAACCCTGGCCCCCCCCGAAACGGGATCCCTGGACACCGGGGTTCCTGGGACCCCCTCGGAGGGTCCCGCGAGAATTTTGGGCCTGTGGAAGTCCTTGCCAAGCCGTGCGAACGGGTCGGCGGCGGTCCCAAGAGACCCCCAAGATTGTCCAAGACGGACTCCAGTGACCTCAGACCTCCGCCAGGCGCCCGAAGACTGCCCAAAGAGTACCACCAAGAGGCTGCCGAAACAGAGAGCTTGACTTGCAGACAGAGAGGGGGAGAAAGAGAGAGAGAGAGAGAGAGAATCCCTCTCTCTGTATGTAGATGTCGAGCGGTAGATAGTGAGACTGATACTGTCAGGAAGGTGTGCTTAGCATGTCTCTCCGCTGGTCCTGGCCTGCCAAGCTCTGGTGCGATAGGCGAACCATGTCTTCATGTTCCAGCAATAGCGTCCAGAACTCTTCCTGGCCTCCCCCCACTCGGAGTGGAGCGACACGCGATCAGCTCTCAGGGGATAGCGTGTCGCCAGGGCCGCCGTCGCGACACGTAAAGCAAACGTTCCCGACCGTAGATAGCAAAGTCGATATACATAGAGAGAGAGAGAGAGAGAGAACGAGAGAGAGAGAGAGAGAGCGAGGTCGATATGTAGATAGGCATTGAGATCTGCGGGTGGGTCGTGAGACTGGTCGACGTCGAGGTCGAGATGACCCCCCCCCCTCGAAATTTGATTTTCGCCGTCCAGGGCTCCTGGACGTTCCCTCAGAGGGTCCCGCGACATTTCTGGGCCCCTGGAGATCCCTGCCAAGGCGTGCAAACGGGTCGGCGGCGGTCCCAAGAGACCCCCAAGACGGTCCAAGACTCTTCCTCCTCCTCCTGCTCCTCCTCCTCCTCCTACTCCTCCTCCTCGTCCTCCTCCTCCAGCGGCCCTGGACCTCCGCCAGACGCTCGAAGACGGCCCAAGTATTACCCCCGAGAGGCTTTCGAAACGGAAAAGAGGTTGATTCGTCCGTTGGTTTTGAATCATTTTCGGCTGCTCGGTTTTCGGTGCCTCTCGGGCGTCCGATGACGCCCGAGAGAGGCAACGAAAACCGCTTCAAGACGACCCAAAGGGGGTTTCCGACAGTCCAAGAGAGCCCCCAAGACGGCCCGAGAGAGCTCAGAGCCTGCCCACAGAGGGCCCCATGACTGCTGGGCCCATGTTCCACCACCACTGCCATGGGTAGGAGAGGGAAGAGGAGGAGGACGCGGAGGAGGAGGAGGATGAGGAGGAGGAGAAGAGGAGGAGGAGGTAAGGTAAGGTAAGGCTCCACTGAGACCGAGGCTCCGACGGTCTGGGGAGAAACTCGGGGTAACCCCCTCACTACGAGAACTCGGCTCTCCTCAACAGGAGGGCGCCAGCGACGGCGCCTCTCGGCGGACGTCGGCGCACGGCCGTGCACTCTCCCAAACAGCTGCTGCTCTAACGCTCTACTTTGGGGTAATCAACGCCTGACCCTCGAGCTCAAGATAGCCAGCTGGCCTGGGACCTGTAAAAACAGTAGCTTCATCAGTGCCCTGCAACAAAGTGATTACAGTGGCCTCAAGGATCGGATCGTTGATCGCGACCATCAACCTACGCACCTTAGAATCGTACATTTTTTCAGTACGAAAGAGTTTGACGAGGAGCTGGGACTGGAGGCTGCCTGGCACAAAATTATTTAAAAACTTGCGAAGGATGACCTGCTGGGCTTCACTGGCACGGGGCATCAGCACAAGTACAACTCCGAAGAACATGAAGCTGCCGGGTGCGCCGAGACCGTGCCCCTTGTTGCCTTTCACACGAGGGAGGTATTCTTGCTCCTGAGCCTGCTTCATAGCACAGAAGATCGGGTCGGCAACCTTGAGCGTGAACTGGAACGTGCACGCCGCCTCGAGGAGGCGGTTCCTCTGGGCATTGATGACGCCTAACTTCAAGGCGAGGTCGGCCTTCTTTTCCACCGTGGTATCTTCAACTGCAAACTTCTTGCGCGCTTGGATGCCTGTGTCCTGCCCAGCTGCCGTAGCTGGTTTCTCACCAACTTTGCCGAAGAGAGCGGTCCACTGCTGAGCCGCCATCAACTGAACGTGTACCAGTGACTAGAGAGAACAGCAACAGGAAGAAATGGAACGACAGAGCCTGGAACAGCGACGGCGAGACAGCGTAATCCCTCATGGTAGACGAAATTCATAGCAGACACCCAATACACATACACGACACCCACGAAAACGAACAGGGAGGGAACGGCCACAGCACCACGATACAAATCCCGCTAGAGTTCAAGAATTTGGTCAACTAGGGGAAGGTGTTGTCTCAGGTGCCGAGGAGGAGCAGGAGGAGGAGGAGGAGGAGGAGGAGGAGGAGGACGAGGAGGAGAGGACGCGGAGGAGGAGGAGGACCTCCTCATCCTCCCTTCTCCCCCGTCCTACATACAGTAGTGGTGGTGGAAAACTTGCCCATCGATGACGGGCCAAAATTGTCTCAAGACGCCCTCCGGAGGCATTCAAACCGTGACCCGAGACCACTCTTCGCGGCATGGTGGCCCGAGAAATCACTCAGAGGCCGCCAAAGGCGCCAGGGACGTCTCCAGAGGCGCCGAAGGAGCCCCTTAAAAGCTTTCGCGAGGTCCTTCCCTTGGAGGAGCCTCCGCAAACAAATCAGAGGAGGACGGGGAAGAGTTCGCGGGGCAATGAAGGCGAGAACGAGGAAGAGGAAGAGGAAGAAGAAGAGGACACATGAGGGAAGGATAAGGAACAACAATATAATCATGGTGACGGCGAAAACTGCAACCACCTGCGATCGATGTTTGGGTTGATCTACCTCTCTCTCATTCTGCTTGTATGTTAGACGTGAAGGACCAAAGCGCATGGTGCGAAGCGCCAATGCAGTCTTGTATCTCCGTCTGCATATATATATATATATATATATATACATACCTATACGACCACCCTGCGGGTGATGAGGAGGTCAGGGGGGCAGCAATGGGCAAAAGTGGTGATTGCTCTTACGATGCCTGTGGGCAACTGGCTGCGGTCCGACAGCGACAACGGCGGCACAGCATACAGCACGGCATGACGATATGCCTTTCGATTCGCATTTGGATGTGTATATCGATGTGCATTTCGATTTGTTTTTCGATTTGCATGTCGACGTGCGTTGGAAAGCTCGCCGCGGCGCCCACGGCGCCTTACGATTTAATCTGGATGTGCGAATCGATTTGCATTTCGATGTGCTTTTCGGTCTGCATGTCGGTTTGCATGCAGACTTGCATTGGGTATCCCGCCGCAAATGGCGATGCTTTGAAATGCACAACCCACGACGGGACACCAGCGGGACACCGCGGGCCACCGCTTGACGGGAGGAGCATCATTTGGTCTGGCCGCGGCGCAGCCACAGGAGGATTCCGGGACACCAGCGGGACACCCGCGCCACCGGCCGCCGGAGGGGAATCATTTGGTCCGGCCGCGGCCCAGCCACAGGAGGATTTCGGGACACCAGTGGGACACCGCGGGCCACCGGCCGCCTGAGTAGAAACATTTGGTCCGGCCGCGGCCCAGCCACAGGAGGATTTCGGGACACCAGCGGGACACCGGCGGGACACCGCGGGCCACCGGCCGCCGGAGGAGAACCATTTGGTCCGGCCGCGGCCCAGCCACAGGAGGATTTCCTCTCGCCCGCCCACGCAGCTTCGCCTCGCCCGCACGCACGCACACGCACGACACGAGCCCGAAACCGAAATCGATTTCCCAGTAGGGGGGGTGTCCGTTTCACGTCAGGGTCACCCTCCAATTTCCGATATATGCACATATACACATACGTGTTGAATATTTTGACCGTCGCCGTAGTAATTTGTTCCTCGGTTCGGTATATGATCGGGTGTGGGCGGCTATGGCGCGCGGTCTCTTGTGAGTTTCGAGGTCGGAGCTACGGGTGCCTGTCAGGAGGCCTCCTGTAGCCAGTTGGGGTCTGTTGCGGGGCCTTTGGGAGCCTCGTTGGGGCCTCTCCGGGGCCTCTTAGGGTCTCTTG